ACAGCAATGAAAACATTTTTAGACGAAGATTAAGTTATACACCTGAAACTGAGTACAATTATCCTTTGTTAAGAAATATGAAGCCGATCACAAGTATACAGAGACGGTACAAAATTGTTACTCCGACACATCGACACATGTTAAGGCACAGGTCGACACGTAGTTATATAGTAAACCTGATCAGTAGACCCACCAAGATGTTCACAACTAAACTAAATAAAGTTAAGAATCAAGTAAATACTAGATTTCCTTTCCTCCATGGACAGTACGATTTCGAACGCATTTGAGGCACAGAGACCAAGAGCACCGGATTAAAAGTGTTCATGACAGAAATTCGATTAACAATCAGAGAACTAAAACGTATTAAATTTATATAATCAAATGAGGAATATAATTAAGCAGATAGCAGCTACAAGAAAGACTGAACGACTTAAGACAATTCGCTATTCAATCAATAAAACTAACGATAACAATGGATCAGGTGACCAGAAAACTAGCGTAAATAACGCTTTTTTTTTTAAGGGGGGAAAATCATCGAATGACTGCCCCCGCCTGGGTGAGGCGGGAGGGAGCGTAAGACTCTTACTGACTAAAAACCACCCCGTTCCTTCTCCTGCACGTCGAGCCGGAGCCCCGGTTACCCGTTAGGTTCTCCGCGACTCCGAATCGGCATCGGCCCTATTGGGCCCCATCTGTGGTGGTCTGATGGCTCTTTGAGGCGCGCGCGGAACGCGACGCGCCGTACGCTCGGGTCTGTTTCTGGTCGGACGGGGAGCCACCCATGCTCGCCGTCCGCAGGCCCGCGCTTACGGTGGCCGGAGATCGTCCCGCGATCCCCGACGCCCGGTGTGTCCTTCGCGATGGCTGGGTTGCGAGGAGGCAGCGCTTCGCTGCCTCACGCGTCCCGCCTCCTCCTTAGCTAGCATGACTGCTTCGCAAAAGGAGGAGACGGCATCCCAATCCCCCTCGCTCCGCATCATGGCCTGCACTAGGCCCGGACGCGAGAGGTCGCCATCGCCGATCACTTCCCTGAGGACACGGCGGTGCTCAGCCCACGAAGGGCATTCTCCCACCGTGTGTTCCACCGTGTCCTCAGGGCGGTCCTCGCAGTGATGACACCCGGGCGTTTCCTCCCGCCCTATCAGACACAGGTACCTCCCGAAACTTCCATGTCCGGTGAGGACCTGCGTCAGGCGCTAGGTGAGGACGCCGTAGCGTCTCTCAAGCCACTCCTCAAAGAGGGGTCTTACCGCTGCAATGGCAGCGAGCCAATATTACCAATACTTACTAATACGTTACGAAACTATATGTTTACTGCACCATTCGTGGCGAGCCACAGAGCAGAGCTTTCATTCATTCAACACTTTTACTTTTTCATGAGATCACGCGCACGCGCACCGCGCTCTGTGCTGCAGGGTGCTGTAGTGTACACTGGGAGTCTGTATATAGTGCACATTGTATCGACGTGAGCAAATATTATGTGCTTAAGTTTGAAATATAAAAACGACGAAAAATTTTATTAAAAAATATATGATTCTGTGAATTGGAACGTTTGGTTATTTAAAAATTACTTATAGAAACGAACTAATAAAAATTCATGTTTTTATAAAAAAATATATGTTTTAATTTTTTCCTCAATTTTCATTTATAACAATGCCTTATTGTTTTTTTCATTATTTTTTTATGGAATGGGAGGCAAACGAGCAGACGGATCACCTGATGGTATGCGAAAACTAACGATAACAATGGATCAGGTGTCCAGAAAACTAGCGTAAATAACGCTTGCGTTGTGTTATTATCCAAGTGAGTGACATTACTGGAGCCCAAGGCTATATTCCTACCCTACTCAACCGACACTGAAAAATCGGACCGAAGGCAGTCTATGGGTGGTGTCGATTGCTAACCATCAGGTGATCTGTCTGTACGTTTGCTAGACTATTCCATAAAAATATCTGTTTCTGAGAAAATGCGTTCGTTCCAGAAGCCTAAGATTAGGTTCTTCGATATCAGCATTACAAAAATAATTACATTGTTTAGAATTGTGGCTGGCGTTTGACAATATATTCTTCATTAAACTGCCATCGTCACTGTTCTCATCACAGGCAACAATTTGTCCTGAATCCCCCACAATCTTCAAATTCCTAATCGCCAAAAGGCCGGTTAAGCACTTTCAGTACTTACAGTACGGTGTTTCGTATCTCCATGGGCGGCACTGATGCTTACCATAGTTATGTTGGTGGATTGTCAAATTATAGTCGGATTTATTTTACTTGGATTTATTACAATAATGTGCAGGGCGCACGACGAGTGACAGCAACGTTAATATTGAGTGTCCTGCCTTATATAACACATTACACTACTTACTAATTAGTGATAACAATACAGACTAAACATACATGTAACAACCATCAGGTGATCCATCTACTCGTTTACCAGCTTATTCCATTAAAAATGTTGTACTATATCAGACTAACTTTAATTACCATTAAGTAGGCATATTATAATAAAATGTGTGTATTCTTATTATTGGTTTTATTTCCTTAAAATGTATTCATACTACTTAGTGTTATACACAACTTGAAATTAACTTCCCTCAACGGCTCTGTGGAGATGATATATGCGATACATTTCCATTCGCAGCACACATCCATTCATGTTCACAAACTTTCGCATTTATAATGTTAGTAGGACACAGAGCTTCTAGCAGGAATTGTCACCGTCTTCTCCAATTATCCATTTAACTATAGTTGTCACTTGGTAGGGATACATCTGAGTCTGAGTCTGCAAAAACATAAGAAAAAATGGTTAGTAATATTGTCCAATATTATGTCATATCCAACAGCCATGATATTCTAATTCAGGGTAATGAAGAGGGAATATAGGAGGGTGAATTATCAGCCTCCTCTCAATTAGAGGGTTTCACTTAACCTGGACTTACTTGGCAGAAGTCGTAACCTCAAAGGTTCAGGTTTATTAGAGACCCGGAGCTGCGGACGACTCAGCGGGTTACCGTAGTAGGGACGGGACTGTGTTTAGTCAGTAAGAGTCCGCCGCTCCCTCTCGCCTCGCACAAGGCGGGAGAATCATTCGATGATTTTGTCCCGAAAAAAGCATGGTGATAAATGTGCGTCCTACTCTGTCGAAATATCAATAATCCTTTTATAAACTACGTTTGAAAAACCAACTCAATCCACTTCAACCCCCTATTTTTTGAATTCGCCTAATTAATATACTAAAACCTTCTCCTACATAAATGTAACAAAGCTACCACAGATGGTGGTACCACATTAGGGCTGATGCCCGATACGGAGCTGCGGAAGGCCTAACGGGTTGCCGGGGCTTCAGCTCGAAGAGTAGGAGTAGGAACGGGGTGGGGTTTAGTCCGTATGAATCTGACACTCCCTGTCGTCTAACCCAAGGCAGGGGCAAGTCATTTGATAATTCACCCTCTCAAAAAAACATAGGATAACAAACACTTTTTTGATAACGGCTCTGACAATCTTGAGGTAATCGTACATACATACAGGTCAAACTGAACTGACCTTTTTTTTAAAGTCGTTTAAAAAACAAATACTTTTTTGTTTAAATACCTGAGTTTTTACTCGGCATACGTTGGTCATTTTCTTCGTTTAAAATATAAGCATAAGATTTCAAAGCTTCCATCTTGTCGTAGTCTACATCGGCTTGTGCTTTGACAATCATATTTTGTAATTTTTCTTTAACAGCTTCAATTTCATTTGTCGATACATCCGCATCATCTTTTACCGGTACCGGTGCTTTTTTTAATTCAAAGTCACTTTCTTCTTCCTCTTTTTCGAGTACTTTTTTAATTACCTTACTATTGACTAGAAAGTATGTATCTGATCCTGCTGTGTCATCCTTACTGTCATCGAAATCATTGAAATCTGCGTCTTTGTTTGAATCCCTATCTAGATCAATTGCACGTTCTTTCTGATTTCCATAAGATGAAGCTAATATAAGATTTTTGTAATTTCTAGTCGTTTTTTTATCTTCATTATTATATTTGATTTTGTATCCATTTCTTTTGTTTGCTTCTAGCACATAATTGTTAATGACTGGTGTCATATCTCCAACATACTTTGACGTTCTTTTAAATGATTCAATATTAAGTCGAGAAGAGAAATGTTTTATGATGTCATCAACTTCTTTTTCCTTCTTATTCTTTCTTTTTCTTTTGTATTTGTTGCGTTTGTGTAATTTTTTGATATATTGTGATTTTGGTTTCTTTGTGGTTGTTTGTACTGTGGATTATAAGAAGTTTACAAAATGTTTGTTTTGATTATTATGATGGCGTGTGGCCACTATCTCGCCTGATGATACGCGATGATGGAACATGCCTACCACGTAATCTATTCACTCAGGGCTTGAAGACAACCAGAGAAATACAGACTGTGGCAAAGAATTCTACTCATTAGAGGTTTGCACAAGAAAACTTGGAGTGGAACGCTGCGTTTGATTGGGTGGAACATCTACCAATAATAAAATGGAATATTTTGGAAGTTAAAACTAAGTAAGGTTTCAAGTGTTGTGAAAATGTCTATATTTAAACATATCGATACTCGTGAGAAGTTATATTAAAAGGCAAAGTAATTAATTTATTTAAACTTACGTTCAATATTTAGAAGTTCACCAAGAATTTTAGTCCGTAAAGGGAATCTAATCTTTAAGGCGTAGTTGATGGAGTCGACAAGCGTTTGTCTGCGTTCTGAACGACTGAGTCTTCTGTATGGTCTTATGAAACTGTCGAGTATACATACACGGTGTGTGTCTTTTGCATTCTTTGAACCTGGAATTTGTTAATTATGAGCATACTAAGTTGACCATTAAGTAATATCAAAACAAACATGTTAAACGGGTTCAATGACCTCCATTCTACCAATCAAGACCTTTTAATTGATATCAATAATGGAGGTAGTTGTGGAAATAATAAGATTATATTGTATGGCCGTCAAAATTAAGAGTGAGTCCGAAATATCAAATCAATCTGTCGTCAGGAAGGAGGTAAAAATCAAATTTAAAGATCCAAAGAAACAAACGGGACAAGCTGAATAAAACCGTTTAAGACATAATTCATACCAAACGTATTGTCGGCCGCTGAAGATGAGCGCGCTTTGTAGTTTATCACTTTTCCATTATTCACACCATACCGACTGTACTCTGTTACGTAGTGCGATGTCGACAGTGAGCGTACTCACAGTCGGTGGCGGACAATACGTTCGGTGTGGACGATGGTTAACAAAAACAATACGTTTCATATTATTATGTAACGTTACGAGACGCCATGTCAAACTTACCTTTAGGATATGTTTCATATTCTGTTACAGCATCAAAGAGTTCACCTCCCTCGTCTTCATTGTACAGCAGATCAGCATAGTCTATGATGGAGTTCACGTCTACTGATACAGCAGTCTTCCTGACTTGCAGCATGTGGTACATCATTGATGAGTAGCCTGGGAAGATGACAATTCCGAAGGTGATTCAGAGGTGAATTAACCTAGAGAGCGCCCTAAGCAAGCACCTCATTGACGTCCCTAGTTTATTTAGCCGCCGCCACTCTATGGGCAGTTGGGCACGCGCGTCTCGCGGCGCCCCTAGACATTTGTCTAGTTTACCTTAGCGGTATATTTCACCCACCAGGACACCATGGCAGCGCAATCAGTCGCGCCATCGTTTTGTCTGTAACCTACCAATCTAGACAGCACACAGACACCAGAGTCGCCGCACCACACTGCGACGGTAACAGACTCTAATGCTCCCGCCTGAGCTGGTCACGCCGCTAGATTGGTAGCGCAACCAAGCGCACACCATGTGCATAACTTTCTATAGAGCTGTATACATTTTGTTGGTAGCGGCGACTGGTTGCGCCGCTATGATGTCCCGATGAAATATAGCCCTAGGGATAACGCTGCCCTGGTCCTAGCATTTACAGCTGGGGACAAGCGGCTCGAATCAGGAGTTAGAACGGGGTGGTATTTAGTCAGTAAGAGTCTGACACTCCCTCTCGCCTATCCCAAGGCGGGGAGAAGTCGTTGGATGACTTCCTTTTTAAAAAAAAGGACTATTACATCAAAAGTCCACTATAAATGTATACAACATTTACAATGAAACTGCCATACTTACTTCTTACTATATCAATCTCTCCTTCGCTGACGAACCGGGAAATATCAGTGATGACGTTGGTCAGGGGATCGCCGAACCACTCATGCTCAAACCAACTGTAAAATACATTGTGTTAGTGATAATCATGACGAGAAGTATGTATTGAGTAAAATTGAGTGATGAAATGACACATAGTGCTATCAGAGAAAGGTGTGGATTAAAAGATGATAATGTGACAAGGATTGAAAAGGAAATGTCACGATGGTTTGGACATGTAGAAACGATGAATGAAAGTACAGTAACGAAAGAAGTATACAGAGTGGATATGAAGAGACCGTCGATAGAGGGCGCCATACATGGACAAAAATCTCAAGTAGATTGATGATATTAAAGAAGGGCAAAAATGAAAAAAACCCTTAATCGACGAGCATGCATGAAGAGACTGATGGCTGTTGATGACGCGAAAGAGCCATATAGAAGAATCGTAGCAATTGGCGTTTCACAGTCTCTGCCTACCCTCATAGCAGACAGGCGTGAGGTTACGTATGTATGTATGATGATGGTGATGATCATGAAACACTAACGTTCCCACATGTAGTTCTACTTCCTCCAACACATTTTTGACAAGTTTCTCATCCTTCAGAGAAGTAATCCTTAATATTTGTTGTAGGAAGATAACCAAATATCCTTCGCTTTGTTCTTCCATCATCTTGTAGTAAACGTGTCTCGCAGATGGCACCTGCGTCGTGGTTTTTGTTCCAATACCTAAAAGAATTATAAAAAGACATTAAACATTGACTTCTTCCATCGCCTTCGTTCGCGTTCCCGTGGGATAAAAAGCCTACGTGGTATTGCAGACCATGACCTATCCCTGTTCCAAATTTCATTCCGATATCTTCAACCGTTTTGACGTGAACGAGTAATAAACAAACACGTATGTTTCACGTGTCTAATGTTTGGACATAATCTACCAGACGACATTAAGTTAAAGGCTAGTCATCATCATAGCTCTACATATGGCAGTAGTTCAGTAAAAGAATAAACAAGGTGGTATAGCTTGACATGCGATACATACCTCCAAATACGATCCCTGTGTGGTCTTGTGGTCCCAAACTTACAGATGTGCTGGTCAGTGGATTGCGGTCTAGTGTTCCAAAAACTTCGTAACCGCGCGTCTGTGGTGTAACTCTGTACAAAAACCAGTGAACCACGGAATGAGGACCGATTCTTCTAACGCCAGTTAAATATCAGAGGAACAACTTTGAATATTTGAGAATGACTGCACGGTTAGTGCGGTCGCTTGGCCGCCGGCTGCCAAACAACGTGTTAGCGGTCTGGGTGTCATATGATATGAACTTATATTTATACTTTGTTTGTAAACGCTTTTACGGTTAAGAATTATCCGTTAATTGAAAAATCGGCCTTAAGTTAGGAAAACAAGCAATCGGCGCCGCCCTCGACACCTGAAACACCCGAGGCGTTACAAGTGCGTTATGGGATTTTTTGGGAATTAGGAATGTGAGGATTATGGGGAATTCCCCACAATTAGGCCATTAGCACATTAGGGGGCAATAAGGCCTCCAGTAACCCCACTCACACAACGAAACACAACTCAAGCGTTGCTTCACGTCGGTTTTCTGCTCGTCCGTGGTATCACTTCGGTCGAGCCAGCCCATTCGCGTCGACGCATGGCGCCACCACGAGTAAAATAATACTTTAGAAATACGTACCTGTCTGCTGCAGCAGCAGATAATTGGTAGTCCGTAGGTGGTAGAGGATACTCGGGAGGAGTCAATGGACCTTCTCTGTGTACTGGAGTAGCAGAATTCTTCATCTGTTGTTTTTGGGCCCACAATTGCGATTTGTACAGAGGACGTAGTGACTGTGGCACTGTTTAAATGAGTTTTTTGATTAGTACTATTAACAATATGTCGCGGTGGCCCGGAGGTTCAAGACACTCGCATTCTCATGCATTACAGAGTGGGCTCGAAATCCGGCAAGTACCAATGTGACTTTTTCCGAGTTATATGTAGTACTTGCTAAGATTATTTAGACACCACTGACAAACGGTGAAGGAAACCATCGTAAGGAAACCTGAGCCTATAATGTCTAATTATAAGTTTTTAAATGGCCAACCTGCATTGAGCTAGCGTGGTGATTAATGCTCTTCTTCGTGTGAGAAGAGGCCTTTAGTCAGCAGTGGGTAGTTATAGATGAGACTGTGATCACCATAGAAGACGCCTAGCGGGGCCGACGCTCGGCCGGAGCTGCTAACCATCGTGCAGGTTGTATTAAGCTTGCCCTGTTTGTTTGTTTGTTTGGATTAATTGGAATATCGACCCCTTGCTGAGAACAGATCGATCCGATATTTGGTACACACTTTTAACATTGATGACAATACAATATACATTAATCTAATTTTTCCCACAACTACCTCCATTATGGATATCAAACGAATGCGGCTTTATGAATGATAAATGAATGAATGAATGAGTAGAGCTCACTAAAACCGTTCAATATAAAAATATTTTTTAATGTAATACTTACTGGCAGTAAGCCCGGCCCAGACCGACTTCGTAGTCCACCTCTGAACAGGCGTAGTGGCGGTCGCTTGGCTGAACCAGTTTACAAAATTATCCACGTTTTTCCCTGACACCGGAACACCGGATTCAAAATTAGGTTTTTGGACATTACGCACTAAATACTTTGAAAGTTGTTTTGTAGTTCTCGAAGTTGAAGGTGTAGTTGTCAAAAGAGGATACCTTGAAGCCATAGGTATAATTGTGTAAAGACCTGGTGGCTTGTTACTTTGGCTGATGAACCCTAAATACTTATTGAAATCGTCTATTAAACTTCGTGTCAATTTGCCAAAAGTTGGTGGTGTTACAACCAAATCAAATGAGTCGTTTCGTGTCTGCACCGGGTATCCAGGGTAGTCGGAGCTGATGGTGGAGGGCGGTGCTTCTTCTGCCTCGTCTTTTGTCATAATGCCGAAGTTTGGCGGCGTTATTGCTATATCGAAAGTCTGGTTTCGGGTGGTTGGGGGTTCCGTAGTATCAGGATAGAGTATGGGGTTAAAAGGAGGAGGTTCGTAGGGGTATCCAGGGTAGTTAGTGTTAAAGGTGTAGGGCGGCACTGTGGTCGGTGGCGTCAGTTCAGTCATCTCTTCTTCTATATATTCTTCTTCGGTAGTACGGGGTGTTGTCGATATTGTTGGCAAAAAAGTAGATGTCACATCCTCATGTGTTACGCCTTCTACTCCGGTCTCGCCCCAAAACATATCTGTGACGTCATAACTTAGAAAATTACTGTCTTCTGGGATCGGAGCGTTTTCATAATCGATTTGTGATCTGAGGATCTTCCTCTCTTTCCTTATCTCTTTCTGTACTCCACGGAGGAGGGTGTCGATTTCCTTTAGTGATTTGTGTAGGTTTCTTGTCAGGATTGTGTGGTTTAAGATTTCTGGAAGGAAATTAGAATTTAATTTATGATTTCTTTTTTGATTCCGTTGTAGCAGTCAATTTCAACTTTACAACTTACTTTTTTGATGGTGGAATATTAGTCAATGACTTCTCCCGCCTTGGGGGTGAGACGAGAGAACTCTCTCTCAGACTCTTACTGACTAAACACGTCCCGGTCCTACTCCTGCACAGAGCCGTAGTCCTGGTAACAAGCTAGTGTCTGCAGCTCCAGGTGTAAGTGTTAGACTACAGTATCTGCTTACCACCAGGCAGACATATTTATAAAAAAGATACACGACAAAGTAATGAAATAATACTAATTGTAATATGCTTACTCTTATGGACAACTTTACAGACGAACAATTCATAATTTAGAAATAGCGTTATTAATATTACTTTCATAGCGAATTATACACTCTAACGTTAATTATGAACCATTTTATGTCTTTATTTTAATCGCAACGACTGAGAATCTTTTTTCTATTTGGTTATAGCTATAGCATAATACAATTTTGTTATTCAAGTCGATTGAACTTAAAACAATTTGCGCACGTTTATAATTTTATGAGCTGTTTGTTTAATAAAAACTACTGTTTTGTAATATATATTTTAAGGTTGGCAACACTTCGCTGTTGCAAGTGACTGTGGTTTAAAAAGCCGTTATTTCAAAAGAAGATTGGTTTAAAATTAAGTAAAGTTGATGATTGTTAGCTTGTTAAAAATCAGTAACAATTCAAATGTTTATTGTCAATAAAATCGTTGTAATAATTTTATTGGATTACAAATATAAAAATAGTTGCTCACGCAATGTATAACAAGTTTTATGATACAATAAAATGTTAGTATTTTTATATTAAAATGAAAGTGTGCGCTTGTGTTCTGCTGTTCACCATACTCGGTATTTATTTTGTCTTTGTTGCAATACAAACTTTTCATTGAATTTCTTTTATAAAATGAGTTATTATTTACACTTTTTTATCCAAAGTAAAGTATAAATAACACATTTATAATATATTTGCTATTTGTAAGCATGCGTGCGTGTATGCAATTATGCATCCTAGCTTATAACGGCCACTTTATAATATGTATGCCTTCAGTGCAAAGCTCCGACTTTTTGATAATTTTAAATTACTATACGTACTAACATTAATTAAAATAACATGTTTTTATGCAAGTGTAATAAATTACAAAAACGAATAAAGTTTTTAATAATTTTTGTAATCCAAACATACGTTTAACTTACAATATGTCTTACTACACAAAACATCTCAATTCTACATGAGCTGATTACATGTGAACGATACCGTCGACGATATGTACGTGTGTCGTTAACAAGTCAACCTCGCCTACCATCAGTTGACTGGACAATATGGATGAATGAATGAATGAATGAATGAATGAAATACGTTTATTCGGCAAAAGACATGCAGGCCAGAAAAAATAACTTATACATTGTGACATATAACAATAAAGAGATTTAAAAATAGAAATATAAAGAAAAAAAAGATAATAGGTACATTATAAAACTAAAACAAGCCAACAATACAGGTGCAACATACTGCGCGGTGTTGGCGGACATGACCAATCCGAACGAGTCGCCAATTCTTCATATTACCAGATGAAGAAGAGACAGATAATAACAATATTACCAAAATATAATTAAACTAATGTACTGTTAAATAAATAATCATCAAATTTAAGGACCACAGATTATATTATATGCAAAAAGAAACTGTCAAGAATAATTATGTAAATATATCAACGTGCTATAATTTAATCATAACAACATCAGGACCTGACCTTTAAAAGAATAATAACGTCTAGGCAAAACCACAAAGTATGTATAGCCGAATCATGCAACTCTTTCTTATTAGGAAATTCCAGTGCTATGTTTTCCCCACGCTTTACAGTAAAATAAACACGGGATAAGCGCTCAGCAGAATTCTATGTTTCTTGCACCAAGTATACCATATGACATACTTAAAATAATTAATTCACTTAAGAATACAAATAGCGTGGGTTACGATGGTATATCAACAGAGATACTTAAAAGAGTGGCTCCCGGTATATGTAGTCATCTGAGTCATATTTTGAATCTTAGCATTTGCTCAGGTATCTATCCAGAGGCCTTAAAAATATCCATTATAAAACCATTATTTAAAAAGGAAAATAGGGAACTCATGGAATATTATAGGCCTATTGCGCTTATTCCAATTATATCGAAAATATTTGAAAAATATATATATAGAGAGACTTATAAATATTTAGAAAAAAACAAGTTATTGTGCTACGAACAGAAAGGATTTAGACAGGGTAAATCAATTAATATGGCAATATTTGATTTTATAAGGGGCGTCATAAAGCATGTAGATGAACGTAAACCGGTATGTGCCATTTACTGCGACATGACACAAGCGTTTGATTATGTACACTTTGATACACTCGTGAATAAACTTGAAGCCTATGGTATTAGAGGGAACACTCTAAGCTTAATAGAATCTTATTTACGTAACAGAAAACAAATAACTGAAATATGTAGAATGAATGAAAATAATTACGAAGAAACTTTTCGGTCGTCTGAACGTGAAGTTAGATACGGAGTACCACAGGGGAGCGTTCTGGGGCCGTTACTTTTTATATTGTATATAAATGACCTTCCGAAACACGTTGGTCAACCATTAACTCTGTTTGCC